CATGGTTATGCAAGCAGTTAGTTCCTTGAAGGTGACGAGTCTCCAGTAGTTTTATAGAACATACTGAGCACATCTACATGAGACGTTTACTGAGGAGTTGTCTAATTAGCTCTGCAGTAAAGTCTCGGCATCTACTCATGAGGTCCTATTAGGCTGCAGTAAACTAATAAATGCCTCCGTAGGTTAGTACTTGTAAACACAAGTACTATCCTGCGGCAGTGTTATTTAGTGCGCAGCACTGCACGTGTAGACACTGCTGGGGCTTGCTGGGGCACAAGGGTGCTTCAGTGCAGGGGCTGCCTGCCAGCTAGCCCTGCACTGTAGCATCTTCATGCCTCAGCCAGGCCCTCTGCAGCAAGTTGAGCTGAGTCAGAGTGGTCCAGCTCTTGGGTGGTGCTCTAATTAAAATGCCCACAGCATCTCATGTATTCAGTGTCCAACATGTCAAAATGGCAGCAGGGCATCTCTCTTTAACTAAAGCTCGTTCAACGCCATTTTGACATGCAGGGTACTGAATGCACAAGATGTTGCAGCACACTGAAGCATTGATTAGAAGGCTCCAGCAAACTCTAATTGAGTCTGTCCTGACGTGTACTAATCAGAACGTGCTGAAGCACATGTAACAGTGCCCTAAGGTTGTGGGTAAAGTTTTCAAGAGCAGCAAAAATGTTAGGGTACCTCAAGTTTTGGGGTTCTCAGTTCATATACCTGGAGAAGGCTGGATTTTCAGAATGTGTTGAGGCATACAGCCTCCAAAAATAAGGCTCCTTGCAAGCATCTCAGTCAGAGCGCCACAAATTCAAGGTACTCCAAACTACTACTGATTTTTGAAAATCAAGCTACCTTTTTGTTTTGTTCTTTTAATGTTCCAGGGTGGTAGCAGTAAAACAGGGAAGGAGCTTTTGAAAAAGGCAGTCCTGATTTTCACTGAGAATCAGGCCACTATGCACACCTTTGGCTTTGGTAAAAGGGTCTTGAAGTGAGAACAAATGCTGTTTACACTATCTTTGGTCCCTTTTATGCCACCCCTATGGAGGGCATTCCTGTGGCTGAGAATTTATTAGGGCCATGGCTGTCTTGAGATTGTCCCTTTTGGGCCCTGTGATGATTCTCTTCATGATGTCCTTGCTGGGAATTTTCTTTTCTTTGTTTTCACTTCTTTCGTAAAGATTTAATAAGAAGACATTAAAAACAAGAACCCACCAGCAGGGCTGAGATGCTATCAAGCAGAAGCTCATATGCACATTCTGTATCTGCTGCCTCATCTCTCTCCTAAGCCATCATGGTAAACATGTACCATGCAGGAAAGCTTCTTGTCCTCCACGCAAGTTTCCCCCCAGGTGTGGGGTGATCCGCAGGCAGCCAGGAGGATAATGCAAAAGATATGGAACCACTGAATTAAATCTTAAGGAGGGTATCTATGGGAAGAAGAGGCAGAAGGAAACCAAAGCAAGGTGTTCAGAGGAGACAGGGTAGAGAACCCTAGTGTAAAACTCATGTGATACTTGCAGGCCCTCATTCTGTTTGTGTGCTGTCTTCCTCTATCCTGCACTGTCTAAAGAGACTGGGAGTCACTGGGGATCGAGACAGTGCCTCAGTAGCATAATGCCAAGATCTTTCTTTAGGCAACTTCAGCACACTTTACAAAAGAGGTCAGCAACATTATCCCTGTTTTTTGGAAGAGTCCTGCCACCAGGATCATAACAGAGCCAGGGATGGAGCAGGTTCACTCTTCTTTTCACCAGCCAGATGTCTAAATGCTGTCCAACCTAAGGGAGCCTTGGTTTTGGAGAAGGCTGTAGGTGCTACTGAATAATTGCTTACCATTGTAAAAAATGAGCAAGGCTTTGGGAGTTGTACATCCATGCATCTGAGCACTAGCTGCTCTCCACATATCACTACCAGCCATTTTGTATAAATAACTTCTGCCTCCGTCTTCTGGTCTCCCATGCTGCATGACCTCTGCTCTTTTGGCAGCAGGACTTTCTCACTGATTTTTTTCCTCATGTCCCTCCCTGTGGCCCTGGAGTTAAGAATTGTCCTAGGTGCCCATGGGAACAAGAAGAATCCTTTCTGAACAGCTGTGGGGAAGAAAGGGTGCTTGTAGTAAGCCATAAATTTGTGGGATGCCCAGCTTCCTGCCCCTGCGACCTAGGATGCTGGCCAGAGAACAGGGCACTGCATTGGATTCTCCTAGATGGTGAGAGATGTATTTGGGGCTTCAGTAAAATGCCCAGTACCCAGCCCCACTGTAAGGGTTTCAAGAGGGTGTGACATGCAATGACTCCCAGATTTCAAAGGCAGAAGGAAAGGCCATGTGCTCAGCACATGTCCAGATCACCTCCACACTACCCAGAAGTGTTGCCACCCTCAGTTTCCCCAAAGAAGCTGACAAGGCCAACATCATCAAGGCTTGGGAAGGTTCTTACAAGTCTGTAGCTCTGAACCACCATGGTCCTCCCAGCTGGGGTTTCCCACAAAGCCAGCAAAAGCATGTGATACCAGGGAGGACCAATCATTATGGGCTGATGATTCAGCCCAGTGGCCTGATCTTTTGACCACTTCTGATTCCCCACTTGTACCTTCTCTCCCTCAGAAAAAGAGCAAGCTGCATTATCACATCGCTGTCATCATCAACTACCTGGGGCACTGCGTCTCACTTGGGGCCCTGCTCGTCGCCTTTGTCCTCTTCATGCGCTTGAGGTAAGAAACACCCCTCACCAGCTCCAAGCCCACTTGCTCACCCCTCACCAGCTCCAAGCCCAATGGCTGCTCAGTTCAAGAGTTGCCTTTGCAGCCTGGATCTGCACAGATAGGAAGAAACTGGGAACTGAGCCAAGGCCCCCACACTAGAACCAGGGAGCAGCAGTTTCTCGTGAGGCCCTATGAGTTGCACTTGGTTTTGGTATCTACTGCCTGCCTGTCTGGTCTCCTCATGGCAGGAGGCAAATGATTCAACTCTACTTCCTCCCCTTCCTCTACAGGCTGGAAGCAATTACAAGCCCAGGGGAGAGGGAGTTAATTTCTTCCCACCTGTTTTCAATGTGTTAGGAATATTGAGCCAGAGAAAGCTGCAGCATGTCTCTTACTGCTCCTAGGAGTCAGGTAATGCCACAGTTCTGCCCCCTCCTCACCCAGAAGAAAAGCTCAGCCCCGACACAAAGCTTCACTAAATTTAATACAATCAGGAAGGAGAGAAATAGCAAACTACAGGAGTAGGCCTTTCATAACATCTCTTCCACATGCAGCCCATGAGATCTAATGGTGCCCCCCAACCCTTCCTGTGTCCACAGGAGCATCAGATGCCTGCGTAACATCATCCACTGGAACCTGATCACAGCCTTCATCTTAAGAAATGCCACGTGGTTCGTGGTACAACTCACAATGAACCCGGAGGTGCATGAGAGCAATGTGGTAGGTATGGCACTGCCAAGGAAGGGCTTCAATACATCCAGTGTAGGGATGACACACAGGTTGCATCCATATCAGTGGGGAAGACAAATGAGTTTGGTGGTACAAAGGAGGGCTGGTCTCTACCCTCAAGGCTGGTGCCATAACCACAGCTATGGTTTCAGTTTATGTTCTGGGGCAGACAGTGCCCAGTGCAGGAATGAGGTAGTAGTCAGCATTGGGCATGGCTTCTAGTAGCAGTGAATGCCCTAGCTAGCAGGGTGCCCAGTGTAGGCAGTACTAGAAGGTTTGCCACTTTGGCTGATAGATCCTGCTTGCAGGAAAAACACTTTGCTAGTACATCTCACTCCTGGCCCATAACTTCCACTGACATACCAGGGCTGGACTCCTCTCCCTTCCCCTAGCTCTGCTCATGCACTTTGCTCTTGACCCATAGCACCCCATGCCCCTCCCCAACTGTGATGCATGAGCAAAGGTAGCTTATGCCGCTCCTTCTTGCACTCTTTGGCCCAACCCCACTCAGGAGCCGTGAGCCCCTCCCATTCAATGTTGAGAAGAGTGGGGACTGGACTCATCTGGGTTTTTGGTCCTGCCCTCTCATGTCATGCTTCAGCATCTCTCATAGCCCCAGCAGAAGTCAGGGGTTAGTTCGGGAGTGCGAGAGCAGTGTCTGCATATTGCAGACTGTCAGGATGAAACAAACTTGTCTTCTCTGTCATTTTCCAAAAACCAAATTATGCCTTGACCCCATCCCACATAAGCCCCAGTCCAGGAGTCAGTGAGTACAGAACCAGTCCCAGTCACCACTGAAATCATTCCCTGGCATTGCTTTCTGGGGAACACTCTGTCCTGTCATCCCAGGGCTAGCTCCTGCACTCTCCCATCTGGCCTTTCACAATACCCAGGATCTGTGCAGCTGCTGTGTGGAGTTCAAGAGGCATTTATAGTCTTAATATCCAATAGATCTTGGGAGCTTAAGAATAATGGGGAATTGATTGAATTTGAAGCCTGGTTAATTGGTTGGGGGGGGGTCAGGGACAGGGGAGGGAGAGGTATATCAGATGGCAGCTTTGCACAGGCTGCAGAAAGAAATGAAGTGTTCACCTAGCCATGACCATCATTCCCTGGGGTTTGTGGGAGGAGAGAGAATGGGACATGGGCTCTCCTCCTGGGCTAACAGCTCTCTCTGCCTGCTCTGTGTGGTTTCAGCAGAGCTTTGTCAGGTGGCATGA